ACAGCATCACGCAGAAAATTGGATACAATCTCACAGCATGAGAAAACACACTGCTGAGTGGGTATAATGGTAAATAATAATGGGACGATCTAAAGTGAGGAGCCAATGAGTCATAGGAAGACACAGTAAATGTTGCAGACAAATTAAGTAGCACATGGCTCATTTTAGGAGGGCTCAGGGAAAAGACCAAAATGTTGGATGGAATTAAGATATGAGAAATGTGTTTGCTCAAAGCTTGAATCTAAATTTGTTCAAAACTTTAATTCAACAGAACAGACTATTAGAAATTGTGAAAATCTTGAGCTGCTATTAAAAAGTTAAATTAAAAATTCTTAAATTTAATTTTTAATTAAATTAAAAATTCTTGAACATCAATTTCAAAAAATTCACCTAAGTTCCTACAAAATATTAAAAAATAATTTTTAAGTTTATGTATTTTAAAAGAGAAAAGCAAAAGGGAGTGGGCAGAGGGGGGGGGGGGGGAGAGAGAGAATCCCAGGCAGGTTCCATGTTGTTGTCAGTGCTGACCCCTCCATGGGCTTGATCCCATGAACTGTGAGATCATGACCTGAGCTAAAACCAAGAGCCAGACACTTAACCAACTGAGCCATCCAGGGGCCCCTTAAAAATAATTCTTATTCTCATAATAAAATAAGAGAATCTCATAATAAAAGTGACAACAATAATTGAAGCACATAAAATAAGAAGTGACTTTAAATTCACATTCTGGGGGCTCCTGGGTGGCTCAGTCGGTTACGCGTCTGACTTTCGCTCAGGTCATGATCTCATGGTTAGTCGGTTCAAGCCCCACATAGGGCTCTGTGCTGCCAGCTCAGAGCCTGGAGCCTGCTTTGGATTCTGTGTGTGTGTCTCTCTCTCTGCCCCTCTTCTTCTCATGCTCTCTCTCTCTCTCTCTTTAAAAAAAAAAAACAAAAAACTTCAAAAATAAATAAACATTAAATTCACATTCTGTATTTAATAGAGCATGAGGCTATGCACTAGAAATCCATTTTTCTTTTGTAATAAATATAACTTAGTTTTCAAAGGCTTGGTTAGTAACAGATAATTTAAAAGCTCTAGTATATCTGCTTTAAATCTCCAAATTTTATAGTTACCATCATTTTTAAAAGCCCACCACTGAGGAGATATTATAACACGATTACAATTAAAAAGCTACAAGAAATTATTCTTAATACCTTAACAGAAAAAAACTTAAACTAGGCCATTTAAAGGGAAGAACACAATAGAATCTATTGAATAACTTAGAATTTAAATGGAAAACTTATTGGAAAATAAATCTCTAATCTGAAACAAATTGGTTAATAAGCCCTAAATCACTTGGATAATGCTATTTAAGATAAATAACATTTGGGACACAGGGAGACTTCTTAAATTCAGGATGAGTCAATTTTGTTAATTGCAGGTGGATAATCTGCCTCAGGGAGGTGTCCTGTGCTACAATTCAAATCCTATACCCTTCCAGACAGGGAAAATCCTCCAAATCCCTAACAAGATTGGCAAAAATAATGGCTGCAACAGAAGAGTATATAAATTCTACTTTTATCTCCAGCCATGATGAATCAACCACGAAAAACAATGGGATGATTAGTGACTATCTTACAATGTTATCTTTGACTAGATAGCTAAGCCCTGACCAGAGCAGGTTCACTCCACAGGGATGGCAGTAAGGGCAAGAGGAGACAGAGGGGACTGTGAGGAATGGATGTACGAGCTACACGTTAGATACATATTGTTTCTCTCATGCTTTAATATATTCCGCTATTTTTACACATTATGTGGAAAACATGGTATCTTCCTTTAGAAGTTAAGGATGTCATCGAGTTTCCCATGAGAAAACACGTCCCTTACCTGGCATCATGTCCAATATTCTCCCTGGTTCTATCCTTTCTTCCAAAACCATTCTCAACTCCACTAAAGTATCGCATGCCTTCCAGCCTTCCCATCTTTCCCCACTATCTGTCCATTTGATTGATTTGAAAAATCAGATACATGAAAAAAAATATGAAAGTGAATAAGGGTAATCAGGGGTGAGTGTGGAATCTGAAAGCATCCATTTTAGTGGACCCGCTAATTTTAAGGGCTACTTCGATATTATGGGCAGATAAAACTTCCATGCAAATAACATTTCACTCTCTTCTTCAACCCAGCTACACTCTTAAACCAAAAGGATACATGACTTTCATTGCTTTTCATTTGATGTTGAGGGAAGGAAGTAGACTTGTCATTTGAACAGAAGATGCATCTTCTCTCAGAGCACTTGAACTTCCAAGAGCCCAAGACAGCATGCTCAGCCCAGAGGACCTTGTTCCTCCATCTACATGTTCTTCCTTCTCTAGACACATGACTCTCTCAGAGTTATGTTTTTAATGAAAGATAATATGGGGCACCTGGGTGGTTCAGTCGGTTAAGCATCCGACTTTGGCTCAGGTCATGATTTCACAGTTCATGGGTTCAAGCCCCACGTCGGGCTCTGTGCTGACAACTCAAGAGCCTGGAACCTGTTTCAGATTCTGTGTCTGCCTCTCCCCTGCTCACACTCTGTCTCTCTCTGTCTCGCTCTCAAAAATAAATAAAGATTTTTAAAAAAATTTTAAATACAATATATTTTCTCCAACAAGACAGTGGGTTACAACAAAATGTATTTTTCCCAATCCAGTGTTTACCTGGAATGGAGTAATTGCTCAGGTGAGAACCAATGAGTGTATTACTGGGTGTTTTAATTAACTAATCAAAAATATCATTCCCTAACAAGCTAATTACATTTCATTTTACTCTCCTAGTTTTTATTAATCTCTCCTATTTGATTTCCTTCTCTCATCTCTTTCCTCTTTGCTCTTTATCTTAACCCAGGCTCTTTGCTACACTCAAGCTCTACATTTCATTACCCATTTAATACTAACACATGCCTGCCTAGTTAAATTTAATTTTTTAAATCTTTCACTCCTCAAACAATAAGTCAACATTTTATCGCTTTTCTTAATATTTATTTACCTGAGAAGACTGCTTAGTAAGGTCAAAAGGTGAATCAAAGAGTAGTTACATAAACTTTACAACACTGAATGATTTCTAACTTGGTCAGTAAGATAGATATAATATCAACCCTTTCAATAAACTTGCCTAAATTACAAAATACCCTATAGATAAAGCAAAGCAGATGGTTAGAATGGCTTCACATCGCCTGAACAGGTTTCATAGGGTTTGTCTCATTTATGCTACCCTATCCTCAGCAGGAGCTAGAAAAAACCCAAAGCCCATCTCATCTTTTCTGATTATGTAAGATCATCATGACTCAACTGCCAGCAAATACTCCCAACATTTGCATAATCATTACTCTAGACATCTTCACCCCTTGGCCTAGTTGTGTTTTTGTTGGTCTTGTCTTATGGGAATTGTCAAATCAGCTGAACAAGAACCACATTTCACACCATATTCTATTTACCACATGCCCCAAACAATAACGTATCACCTTTTTAACATGTTTCAGGACTAACATAGAAATAATTTTCTACTGGGAAAAATTTTATGTAATTTAAGAGTCTTCTGAAATTAAAGTTATATTTTCCGTTTATGGAGAAAATAACACCAGATAAAAATAACCAGTAAAAGGACCAATTTAAAAATATGAGTGCAAGTTCTATAAAAATCTCTATTCTGTTATGCTAAAGTAAAACTTCTCTGTTTTAATTGCTTTTGTTTTCTCTCAAAGAATATTAAAGGCACCTCTGAGGTAGCATTGTATTTGTTAGTGATTTCTTTTTCAGTAAAAAGAGTGATTCAGTGACCTTCCAAGAATTTTCCTGGGCCTAAGTCACTAGACTCAAAAATGATATAACAATTATATATACTTAATAAAATATCTGCATTTGCCTTACAGATTACTTCTAACTGACATATTAAACAGATCATAAACATATTTGAATCACAAGGTTACAAATCCTACAAAGATATGAAAACAAATTAAACATGAAAGAAATGTTAAAAAAAAAAAAAAGGTAGTTGATATGCAAAAGTCTCCAAACTGGCATTCAGTAATAAATTAATAAGTGAGAATTCATAGATCTCTTATTAACCTGAAAAGAACACACTAAACATAAAGTTCAATTTTATATAGATAAGGTGAGAATGATGCCTTGAACATTTGAAGTATTTGGATGTCAAAGATGAATAATTTTGGAAAGTTTTGACACATTTATTTTATGAGGTTGAGATTCTTAAGAGAATATTGAAGATATCAACTTCCAAATTTCCCAAACCTTTTGATATTGTGGTTGGCTCAGCAATTTTCTCAGTATTCTTCCCAAATCGTTTGATGCTTATGAACAGTTGAGTGAATACAAATAATCAAGATTGGGCGAGGGGAGGAAGAAGGAAGACAGTGAGAAGGAAGATTTAGGAAAAATATCTGAAGTTAGTTTCCTGTCTTATTTGGAACAGGAGAAAATAGGATCATCCCATGCAATTGATCTGAAAATGAAACATGATCCCAGTGACTGAAAGTGAAGGTAGAATACATAATTCTGAGATACCATCTTCTCTTAATCTTTATACACTTTCTTTTTTACAGACCCAATTTTGTAGTAAAAATTATTATTAAATTCTTAATCAGGAGAAATGCATTTATTAAGCATTTGGTATAAAGAATGTTGCTACATGTAGTCCCTAGCCCAAAGGAGGAAATTATCTTTTTGAAAATGTTTAATTCTTAAATATAAGAATTAATATCATAACCAAACAGAAAACAAAACATTTGCTTTTTTAAGTCTCCTCCTTTCATTTTGTGAATATTTTGTAGCATGGCATATGATAGCTAACATATAAATGATTCTTTACAAACATGTCGAAACTATTTGTTAGAAGAAAAAACTCAGTAAGATGTTTAAATGCACTTCTGGTCTACAACCACATATTTATCAATACCAAACTACCAAAATAAAATCTGAAGAGTTAACATTTCATTGTCTGGATTAACAAATACTTACACTATTGGCTTTTCCAGGCGACTTCCCTGAGAACCAACAATCTCCCCCAATGTACAAAACACTTGTCCCAGAAAGTCCTAAAATAGATAAAAGGATTAAAGCTCATAAATTCTCAGGCTGTCTTTACACTACATATTTTGTACATCATATCGTATTGGTTTCATTGCAGAAATACTGAATTCCCCAACTCCCAATAGTAAATAAAATGAGCTCAATACACATGAATTTTAGCATGTGATTTTCTTGCAAGTTGGCAAAGCCTTTTGTCTTTTTATCACAGCTGGCTTGTTATTGCAAGTAAGCAAGACACTGCTTTTACTTTCTTTTCCTTCTTGAAATTACAACAGTTGAAAAAAGTTCCAGGATTTGAATTCACAATTGGCTTTTGGAGGTCTCTGAAACTAGTAAACTTTGGGCTAAGGAGGCAGACAGTGAAAACACAGAGCAGAGGTGGTTAGAGATACCACAGGCTATGTGAGGTGGTGACCGGAGCGGGGAATGAGGGGGTCCCAAGCCACATGGCCAGATGTCTATTCTACTATTGCCATTCATTACGTGGGACTGGGAAATTAATTAAGCTCTCCAGTTTCGTCACTGCTAACATGTACTATACTTGTTCCCCTCACAGAGTTGTTTTGAGGATGAACAACTTATTGCGTGAGTTAATATTAGTATATGTTACGTACCTAAAACTGGGTTAAGTGTAATAGATTATAAAGTTGATTAATATACAAACTAGATGTATCTTACTTCAAGTACAATCTTATACTTATTTTCAAGACTCAGAATAACCTTGCACGATGAAAGATGTTATTAATCTTTGTTTCACATATAAAGAAAATCCCAATATATTTAGGACATTGATTTTTTTCATATTCTAAGCAGTCAGAAATAGCAGAGTAACCCAGATGTTCTGATTCCAGATCATTATGCTGCCTAAGAATTTAAATATCATAAACACAATGTAATTCCACATGCCAATAAAATAAGAGTTCCAACATCATCTGGCTATGCTGCATCAAGAAATACGGAAGTATTTCAGAGAAAGACTCACTCTCTAGTTTAGCCTGTATAGGAGTTCAATCTGTCCTAAAAGAGAGGGTGGAAGATCTCCCTAAATTGTACAAAGATCTGGCCCATGGGAAGTCCGACAAACAAAATACTTAAGGTTTTTAATAAATAAAATTTCTAAATGCCTAACAAGTAAAAACTATGTATTCAATTCTAGAAAATAAAAGAAGGAGAGTGTTCTAAGTCTGATGAAGGAAATCCATCCTGGAGACTAGGATAGTCAGAGTAATATTTCCCAAAGGAAGTAAGCCTTGAGAGCCAAGTACGAATCAGATCATGAAGAAATAAGAGTTGAATGCTCTGAAGCTAGATTCAAAGGGAAGTTACTCAAATCAAAGGGCTGAAAGTTCTCAGAAGAAGGGAGGAGGGGAAAGGACAAAAGCAGGAAAGGAATGTGTTTTGCTTTGGAAGAACCAGCAGTTCCCAACAAAGAGACACCCAGCGAAGTGTTTCACCTGTTAGTCCCTTGGTAGGTGCTTCCTTCACCTGACAGCCCCTTACAGACCCTTACATGAGCCAGTTGAGTCAGTTTGTGACATTCTGGAGTTGAGGATCTGCAGAAGTCTCCCCTAAGTTGTCCTGCAGTTAGTTACCATTAGCTCATTATAAAACTAAAACTCATTATAAAACTCCTATAGGTGAGATGTTTCCCCCCATTTTTCCACCCGTTTTTTGAACATAGATGCATGTACCAGCATGGTGACATTCTAGGCATGTGGAATTGAACCCAAGTGCCTAAATAATAGAAAATGTATAACTCCTTAATGTATATGTAATGTGTATGCAAGCTCCCTGACCCCACCCCCTAATACACTGGATAAAAGCTTCTTGTACTAACCTTAAGAGCAGACAGTGCTTTGAGAGCTGCTTCCAGCTCCTTACTTGTGAAAAGTAATTAAAAAAGTTCTTTGTTTTCAACACTTCCTTGGGTTGTGTTCAATTTAATGCACCCCAGGCAGTGAACTCCTTAAGTTCAGTTACAATTCCAGTTAAAGGAGAAGAGAACTGGCTACCCCAAAATATACCTCTTTGGCATGAGGATTATTGATTTTTTTAATGTTTATTTATTTAGTTTGAGAGTGCAAGTAGGGAAGGGGCAGAGAGACAGGGAGAGAGAGAATCCCAAGCTGACTCCATGTTGTCAGTGCAGAGCCTGACATGGTTCGATCCTACCAAATGTGAGGTCATGTCCTGAGCCAAAATCAAGAGTCCAATGCTTTACCGACCTAGCCAGCTGGGCACCCCGCATAAGGATTACTTTAGGCCAATTATTTTTAAGAAACAGCAGACACAGAGGAAGCTCAGAAAACCAGGTTAGAAGTTGGTCTTTTGCAGGAGACGTTTGCATTTATAAGAAAATTTTCCATTTCTAAGAGTGGTCTCCCTCACTGCCCTAGGATGAAGGAGGCTACTAAATCTCTAGGAACTCTTCTCGGTGGAGAAGGCAGTTTCTTAAATCTGAAGAAACTATTCCTTCTTTAAAATGCTTTGCCTGAAAACTTCTCATAACTGGTTCCCAACTCACCAACTTTTGTCTTTAGTTAGAAATGGTATAAGGCTTGGACTGTTTCAGGGAGTTACTGCATTTTCCTGAGCATATTCCATGTACACCGGAGGTATACCACTTTATTAAATTTTCATTTGTTTTTCTCCTATTAATCGTGTTTTTTTATTACAGAGGGTTGTCAGCCAAGAACCTAGAAGAGTAGAGGAAAAATTACTCTTCCCCCCTTACATAATCCTAGAGAATAATAGATCAGAGTTACAGGCAAGAATGTAATTAAGAGAAGAGTGGGCTTCAGGTAAAGGGGAGAATGGACGATGAAGAGCCAAGTCAGACTGCTGAAGGTCCAGTTGGCCAATCAAAAACAAACAAGGAAGTTGTTTTAGAATAATCAAAAGCAACTGGAAGCCTTTTAGCAATGCAGGGGACCATTAGAACAGTACATTCAGATTACTCAGGTATCAGTGTGCAGCATGGACTGAGGAATGAGGTAAAAAATGGAATCTGAATCAATCAGAAGGCTATAGTAGTTAATAAAAAGCCAAGTGTTAAGGCCCAAACTGAAGTTGTAGCAAATGGTAGGAAACAGTGCATAGAAAAGTGACAGGATTTGGTGTAAACTATCCTTGCACATGTGAGGGTGGGAAGGAGGGTGGTGGAGACAGAGAGACAGAAAATAACTCTGGATATGAAATTCACTGGCTTACAGAATGGCACTGTCACCAGCTAAACCCAAGAGCTGACTTGTAATGCTCATCTATACCCACTGACCGTTGTCTCATTTTTCCTTAAGTTCTTTCCAATTTATTTCTTTTTTTGTTTTAAGATTTTATTTTATTTTTTTATTTTTATAATAGTTAATTGTCAAGTTGGTTTCCATGTAACACCCAGTGCTCATCCCCACAAGTGCCCTCCTCCGTGCCCATCACTTTTCCAATTTATTTCTTACTTAACTCAGGCAAAAGACTCAAAGGGCACAGCTTCCCATGATGGAAACTGAGACTACCCCTCAAGCTATAACGACTGGCCTGGCAAAGAGTTTTGGAGGCCCAGAACACCCCGATCAAATCATACCTGCACAAATGGACTATGGAATGAAGGACAGTTATTTCTAACTCATTATAATACTAAATTATCTGCCCAAGGAGGAACTCAAGTCTCATTAACATTACATATAATGTATGTATAGGCACGTTTTCTTAAGGTACACATGCAACCTTATGCCCACCTCTACATATGATGAAAAGGTTCCCCTTTCTAAATATTCATCCCAACCCTAAATAAAAGAATCCATCCACCCTTGCTCAGAGAGTCAGGGCTTTGGAAGTTATTCCTCATGATTTCTCATGATCTCCCTATTTGCTGGAAATAGATTCCTTTGTGTGACAATTCCACCCGGTGGATCTGTGACTCAACAAGGAGCAAGTTCACGTTAGTTCAGTGACAACACCTTCATAAAAGTGTAAATCATTTCAAATTTTGGTTCCAAGTAAGTACAAAGTCCTTAGGGTAAAGCCTGGACTTACTTAAATTAAATATCCTTAGTAGCAACATGTCTTTCCCAATTTCAAAACAGACTTTACAGATATGTTTATGGGTTAAAAAAAACCACTAAATTTCTCTAAGTCTCATGGCAGAAAGTGCTGATTACTAAAGATTTGGAATAGATCATTGTTCTTCTGAATCAGCAGTGGAAAATATGGGGATTCTAGATCTCTTTTCTAAAAATACTGATACTGATAGATAGTGGTGCATACTATGTGTTAAATGGATATGGCCAAGTGTCACTAAAAGCTGTTCAGTGCTGTCATTACTGAAGAAACAGAAGTATTGAGCATATCCATATTGGAGAAGACATATTATTAGCAAACAGAGAACACACAAATATCGTTAGTGATGAACAAAAAGGAAGTTAAAATAATAATATAAAGTGTGTACCAAAAGATATGGTATGCATCTGTACACATTAGCTCTATAGTTATTGAACACGTTGCCCGTAAATATTATGGCATTTATGTAGTTACTTTAATCTGTCTGTGCTTACATACTCCTTATCAAGCAACACATTTACTACTCACAGTGAAAAAATCAGCATATAGTATTTGTCAACTGACTGCTCCTTGCACTGGAAATTTCTACTAAATCTATTTTTTACTCATCTCAATGCTTCACATTTTCTATGCATTTAACACAATATGGTAATAGAATGCATGTGTCCTTTAATGGCTATTTTTAGATAGTTTGGTCTATAGTTAAAGGTAGAAATAAAAATTACCTTTAACACAAATGGCTTTATTGCTTCTTACTATGGCGTTGTGTTCCGGTTGATGAGTCATTATAATTACATTAAAATAGAACTTCCAGTAATAAATCCAGGCACAATTCCACAGCTTTAACACACACATAGACCATATCTAGTTCACGGTGTCTGGCAATTGAGAAATGGTTCAATTTATTCAGCCATATTAACTATTGGGCTTTCCCCAAAATGACCAAGAGATC